GAAGACGATTGAATTGTCGCACCCAAAACCGCGCGTGGTGTTTCTCATGATGGACTTGAGTGATTTAAATCGGGCGAACGGGTGGGTGTCGCCGGAGTTGGTAGAGCAGCATGTGCAGCGTCCAACAAAAACGGGCCGGGCCAAGAAAAATAACGTCACGGCAGGGGAGAAAAGCGCCACCATTGTCCCGCCAATGTCTCTAGCCTCTCTTGTGTCAACAGTGGAGAAGAAAACGGCGAGGAATTCTCTGGACGCTGGTAGGACGGCCGCGTCGACGCCTCCTCTCAATGGGGAACAAGAGGTCAATGGGGCCAACAATCCAGTGAGTGTGAATCACGTGAATGTTCATGGCAAGGAGATTGTCAAAGAGGATGGAAGTATCAACAACTCAATTATTATTACCTGCAATAATAATAATGGTAACACAAGTAATAATAAAAATACAAGTGGCAATTTGAAGTCTTCTCTTCGATCGACGGAACGGTGCTCTCGTGGGCAGCATCAACCTTACGGCCAGCTTGTCCTCACGCATGTTGTCAGTGGCAGCACGGAAAATTATTTCAACAGCAGTATGGATTCCTTGCAGCTCAACAGTCCCTTAACTCCTTTTGGTACAGGCTCGGAAAAAATGGCTTCGTGCCAGCCGGATGTGCGGCCACATCAAATCAACATGAGTCAACCACAAACTACGAGTGAGGGAATAAGATCTCCACATACATTTGTCGGCAGCACACCCCTTACGGACACGACGGTCAACATGAAGGATGTCACTGAACAATTGATGAGCCTTTTTCGTAACGGTGAAGAAGCGACAGCCGTCTCCATGTTGCGGGGCATGGAACTGAAAAACATGGTGGTATGCCTTACATGGTGGTTGCGTCTTGCAACCACAAAAACGTCTTCATTTGACGATCGAAACAAAGTGGCATCTCTTCTTTCTTCGTTATTGAGTAATTGCGGCGGTACTTATGATGCCAAAACTTTATTTTTAACCATATTGGAGTGGATTCGCTTTGATGTGGAAAAGGGTGAATACGACAATTGTCCACGCATGTTTGACAACATGGCTCAAATGATTCTTCAGTGCCACCTCCCTTGCAATGATGCTTTACCGCATGTGGATAAGGTGCGTAACATGGTGCAATGTGGCCTTTTTAATGTACTTTTGCGGGAGCTAACAATCAGCGGAGGGACAGACCAGATGGTGACAGTGGTAAAGAGCTGTTACCTCGTTAGCCTGCAGGTGCTAAAGAACCTGCACGATCCCGATGATGAACGACAGATTTTACGAATTGCGGCGCAGAATCGCTTTCGGCTCCTTCCGTACTTGTTGAGCGTGAGCTCTGTAACGAGCAATGCCATGCCCGGGACGCCGTCCATGCGTCCACGTGTGCCTTCTTCGCCTTCCTTATCGCTGCGCAGCAGCCCGCTCGGGGAATCCTTCACAAACACCGGACACTACGACCCACTGGCGCAATGTCTTGTTTTTCCACGTGTCACAGAAGACCCTGAATTTGTGCTTTTCCGCAAGATGCGTGACGCGGCAGCGGAGGTTGGTGTCTTCCCACCAACAACAGCCCCGCGATGGCGGGACGAGGCGGTTCAGCTGGCATTGAGTCCTTTGGGGAACAACTCCACTGTGTGTGAGTTAATTGCGGTGATGCGTGTGGTTGGCGCCCTGCTGGCATGTTCCTGCGTCACCGAGAACAATGGCCGCATGTTGGCGTCAAGCGCCGACGTGGATTATGTTGTGAGTGAGATACTCAGCAAGCGACCCGGTATTCTTTACCAGGGGGCCGTGGCTATGGAGCTTATCATGTACCATACACAGACACTTAACGACACGGCAGAGTCATCCAAGACGGATTCAATGCGGCTACGTCCACTCAAGCGTATATTTGACCAATGGTGCGCACAAGACATAATGCGTCGTGCCGCCGTGCTTGAACTGCTTGACGCCTTTGAGTGTGCGGGTGATCCTTTCAGTGTGTACACGGCATATCACGATAATATAGCGGATGTGCCATGGCATCTCATGCTGCGTGAACTACGCGGGTATTGATTGTTTCTACCTCTATTCCGACACAGTCGGAGTGTGACTGGAGGCTCACGGAGAAAACGTTCAGTATTTTTTTTTTTTTTGAAATATGGGTTTATTTCATTTAAATGTATACATCTAAATCTGATGCCACTTGCCTGTGATGTGTGTGCGGGATTTTATGTGTGTCCCTGTGTTTCTTAAAAAAAAAAAAAAAAAAAAAAAGAAAGAACACACACACACACGTATGTACGCATTAAAAACAACAACAACAACAACAACAAAAACAATCAAGCAAGCAGGCCATAAAACAAACGGAGAGATGGAAGGCAAGACGTGCAAGAAGGAAGGGGTGTGTGGGGAAGTTGATCAACAGAAATAAAGTACACGTGAAATAAAAAAAAAAATATTTTTTTTTTGCGAAATTTCAGATTTACATGGATGCAGGGGGGGGGGGGGGGTACGCACACATTGCAGCCGCACACGCTGGTGGACGGGGGAGGGGACGACTCCAACGGGTAGCGCAGGAGGGGGTGAGTTGAGGTAGTGGGAGGTGCTCTCCGCCCGTGAAGAGAATCGAACAGCCAACCAAACCAACGAAACAAAATAATAAAAAAAAAAAAAAAAACAAAAAACAGAGCAGGAATTTATACGCATATATTTTTTGTATCAAAAAAAAAAAAAATTTATTTATATGAATATTGCACGACACGATCAAAATGACGGGCCGCAGGAGGCAAAGAAAAGAAAAGAAAAAAGAAAAATGCATTAAAATAAAAAAAAAAAAAAAGAAGGAAGAGAAAAGAAAGGGGAGAAGTCATGGGAGACGAAGAGGATTATTTGACAGTATTTGAGTCACCGCACAGGTGGGTGGGGGAAAACAAACAAACAAACAAAATAAAGAAAAGCAAACTGAATCGTGCATCCGTGTGACAGCGGGAGATAAAAAAAAAAAAAAACGCGCACCGAAGGCCTTTTCTGGTGGCAGATTATACGCCGAAGAAACAGGGCCTGCACGTGCACATTTATGTCTTTTAAAATAACAAACATGTTGACAGCGCACAGTATAGCGTAATGTGAGTAGTGCTAGATAACCCGAAACATGTAACCGGGAAGTGATATGTTGTGTACATGAAAAGAAGCCATACAGTGCACGGGGGGTAGCGGGGCTTAACCAGCCAACAAAGAGAACAAAGAAAACATACAAACAAGAAAATGATAAAGAGATACTAAAAGAAAAAAAAAAATTTTATACAGGATGCTAGAATTGAATTGCTATTTATTTTTATTTTTATTTTTATTTTATTTTTCTAAAAGGTCGCGATGCGACTTTTATTTCTTTTTTTTTTTTTGTTTTTTTTTTTCTTTTCGGAGATATAAATATATATATATATTTATATTTATATAAATATAATTGCTGTCTTCTCTTTGCATATTTCTTTTTTCTTTTTTTTTTCTTTTCTTGCTCCTCTCTCTGAACGCAGGTGATCTGACGCCACGCGACTGCTTTGTGCGGTTCTTTCTACCAATGGAATTATATGACTGCTCCTTTAATTCTCTCCATTTGTTTCGGGCAGTAGACTCGCGGGTTTTAAAAAGAAAAATTTGAGTTTTTTTTTTTTTTGTGTGTCTGCCGACATCAGTCTTTGGGGGCGGTGCCACCGCATGGCGACTATGTGGAGTTGTGTGAAGGATAAGCTTATGTAAACGGTGCCCTTGAGCCCAGTGGCCCGCCTGGGCGTTGGCTTCGGCGGAGCCCCACGGCATTCCACTAAACACGGTGGCCGGCGGCCATGCGCAGGACCCACAGGCAAAAAAAAAGAAAAAAAGGAAATGTTGGGCTGGCGGGAGGTTTGCCCCCCCCCCCCCCCCCTCCCCCGTATTGGACCTCTTGTGCAGGATGTTGCTGTTGCTTTGCTTCCCCGCGCTGTTGTGTGTTATTTGACGGTGCTCCTTGCTCCCTTTTGCCTGAGGGAAATTGCAGAGATGCAGAGGAGGAGGAGGAGAAGAAAGAAAGAAAAGGGTACAATTACTCGTTCTGCTTGAGAGAAGAGCCTTCTTAAGGGCAGAGTACACGTCACGGCCATGAAAACTCCTTTACCACTTTAAAAATGCTACTTTTTAATGCGTGCGATGACTGTGGAGGTGCACAATCCGACCTTTCGGTGCGGTAGGTGGGTGTAGAAATGGAGAGTAGTTTGGTGAGGAGGGGGCATCCTGCGCGGAAAGAGACAATTTCAAGCTCTACTGGGGGGTATGCTTGTGGAGGCGCCCGGAGAAAATTATTTTTGGGATTATCTATGTTTTTTATTTTTACCTTTTTCTACCTCTATTTCTCTCACACGCACGCACGCACGGTGTTTGGCACTTTTCTCTTTAGCCCTGCAGTGGGGCTCTTGTGTGTTGTTGTGTATTCTGGCTTCTGAGTTGAGTATGCAGAGGAGTACAGTTTAGGCGTGCAGGAGGGGTGGCCAATAAGACCCCAGTGGCACGAGATGACCTGGTGGAAAAAGGAAAAAAAAAAAAAAGGGGTACAACGCACAGTTGTGAATGGAGAAAATGACGAAGGGGGAGAGATTTTGATGATTGCCATCTTTTTTATTTTATTTATTTGTTTTTGTTTTTGTTTTGCGAGGGTGGCTGAACGGGAAAAGGACGTGCTTACAACGATCGCTCCGTCTCATTTTTGAATGCGAATGTTGTTTATAAAAGGGGGGCTGCCTGCTGCAATATTGCCGGCGTCTAGCACACGTGTACTCGGGCATGCATATGTACCCTCCATGTTTTTTTATGTGGCATTTTTAAAATGTACTTCTGGGCCTGTGTTTGTTTGTGTGTGTGTGTGGTGTAGAAGGCGAGAAGGACGTGTTTTTTTTTCCTTTTTTTTTTCTTTTGTTTCTTTTGACGCATCTGCAGTTTTATCGCATTTTTAGTTCACCCCTCCACTTTTTTTTTTTTTTGTATGGTGCGCTTTGTTTCCGCCTTTGCTCCCGGTCTTTTTACTGGCGGCCTCGTGAGCGCTGCGTCAAGCGCCGCGGCGTGGGCAAAGCAGTCATCCCCGCGGGATGCAGCGGCGTGTGCGTCCCGCAGTTCAACTTTCACGCCAGACGAGTTTCGTCCATTCAAACTTCTCTCATCGCGTTATGAGTCGCATGACACTCGGCGGCTTTACTTCGCTCTTGAGAGCGGCGAGGCGGTCTTTTCCGTGCCCGTCTCGTCGTGTATCGTCGCGAAGTTGACAGACGCGGAGGGGAAAGACTTATTGAAGCCCTTCACGCCTATTACCGCAAACAACAAAAAGGGGCACTTTGAGCTTATTGTCAAGAAGCACTCGAAGGACAAGATGAGTGCCCTTCTCTTTCAATTGCAGCCCGGGGAGGAGCTGCTTGTCAAGGGACCCTTTGAGAAGTTTACATACAAACCAAACATGTGGAAGCACGTAGGTATGCTTGCTGGCGGGACGGGCATAGCTCCCATGTATCAACTGTTGCAGGCGATTTTGATGAACGCCAAGGACCGGACGCATGTAACTTGGTGTACGCAAC